ACTAATACCAAAGTTTGAATATAGCAATATTAATAAGCAGTTGCCAATGTGATTCTCAAAGCAAAATCCGGGGCTTGGAACTTTACCAATAAATGTGAATTCTACACTCTAAAAAATGCTGGGTTAAATATAACCCAGTGCTGGGTAAAATAGGGACAAACCCAGCAATTGGGTTGTTTTGACCCAGCAGTTGGGTTACTAGTCAGAAGGTTGGGTTAAACATTTAACCATTAAACATTTAACCCAACCGCTGGGTCAAAACAACCCAATTGCTGGGTTTGTCCCTATTTTACCCAGCACTGGGTTATATTTAACCCAGCATTTTTTAGAGTGTATACACTGATTTTGCTTAAATTTGGTATCTTATCTGGAAATAATGTCAATTCAAATAGGCTCCTGTAAACAACAATATTAACAAGTTCATTGAATCCTGAACTCTTCCTGGTTTTTATTTGTCCTAGCTGGAGGCCGGTCCTCTGGCATAAACCATCATCTCTCCCTCTCGTCAATGCCAGCGTCCTGCCCTCCACTTGTACCAAACCAGCCGACACATTAAATCGTGACTAGCCCATGGCATCCATCCAACCGCTCTCAACAAAAAGCTTATATTCCCCTGCAACGTGCCAGCCCACGCATACTGACCATGCCCCCGTAACGACCGGCATATGGAAAACAAATTGCCGAGGCCGGGATCAGACACCACGCGGATGTTTAAGGCCTCGTGGCAGCCCACCCGACAACTCCCACTATTATTTATCATGCTGTTTTAAATGTTTTTCTCATTTGTTTCCCCTAAATATTTCATCGTCCCCTTAAATATTCATTTAACTTCTTCTGCTTTTGAATTTTTTACCAGTTTCTCTTTCTCCACGCGTCTTTCTCGGGCTCAGCAATCATAAATAATTATGCATGTGCTCCTAGAAACAGACTGCATAAATCATGCACATGAATTCTTTTTTGTCTTTTCTCATTAAGACGTGTACTTCAACTAGCCTAAATACTTCCCACTGCCCCACTTGTGGAAATTGGATGCTCAATCCAGCAACATCAGCGCTTAGATGGGTTTAGCCTCTTGGTAGGCTATTCCGCCAATTTTGTTACCTTTCTATGCGGTCATCTTGAATGATGCTTTGTTAGTGCAACCATTTTAAACTCTCGCTAACTTGTAAACATTTAGGCAATTATCTTTTCTGAAATCCAACTGAGTGGCTCTTTCATGCCAGCCGAAGCAGGGAAATATGTTTGCTCAATAGCTTCCTCGTTATGTCCTCATAAATTAAGAACTCACTTCATCTCGTCGCGCTCCACAAGAGGAAAACATCAAACATCTCGCGCCCCGACTCAGGAAAAAGAAAGTTTGCTTTTGAAACATTCACAACACCGACGGAGAGAAAGGGAATCAGATAGGCAGCCCGGAAGTCAACCGAATCAAATCCCATTGAACACACTCCTGATCACACACAGGATTCCAAATGTTTGAGGAGGTTATTTGTGAGGAACAAGTGTATTTTTGCATACAGGCAAATCAATATTTTATTCTTCCTTTAAGTCGCTGTAAAGTTTTTTACTCTTGTCACACCATCTTTTAGAAGGCACAAATACCTCAGTCCATCTGTATGGAGAAAATAGACATTTTTATTATCAACCAGACAACAAACATTTGATAATTAGAAAAGAGGAAAAAGTATAAAACAACCTATTTAATGAGTTATTAAGCAAATTTACTCTAGTTAATGAGAAGTCCAGGACTAACCGTCATTTTTATAGTGCAGACATGCACATTTTGTGCACAAATTCTCACATCAAAGTCAGCATCTGGTCTTTATTTGTGTATAACGCCTGAACGGAGCCTTGGCAAACATCTCGGCAAGCAGAAACAAAAAGGTACTGTAAACTTTGAATATTGTGGGATTATCTGTTACTTAATGAGGCCGTTCGATCAGACAGAGCAAATAGCAGTATGCTAATTAGTGATTATACTCAATGATCCTGAGCACACATCACAGATATCTGTGGTATTATGGAGCAGTTCATATTATCAGTCACATTATCAGTCTCATATAGCCAGAAGCTATCAGGCACAGTGCGTCCATATCCGAATAAACCATGGTAAAATCAGTGCAACTTCTGAAAATATCTCTGTATTTTACATTGTGTCTATTTTGCATTTTAGCTTTAGTGGTATGCAGTCACAAACCTGTAAGCTCTGTACATTTTCTTTGTTCTGTCACAAAATTAGTGAAAGCTCAGAGTCCTCTCTCATTTGCATACACTAATTGCTCATTCTCATCATGCAGTATGAAGTAACCTCATTTGATAATAAGACAAGACCAATAAATCATGGACTTCATCATTAAATGAATCCCTTCCTGGGGGAATATTGATTGTTTTATCTAATTGTTTAAGAAAAGAAGAAGACTAAAAACGAAAAATATTTCTACCCCTGTGCCATTTATAATTATTAATAAATGATTTACATAATTATAGTTTATAATAAAAGTCTTTGTAATTGTAATTACCGGTATATTTGTAGGTGTTTGCTCATAATTGCTCATTCTGAAAATGCACATTTCAGTGGTTTTTATTTGATATTTTGAACAAATTCAATGCAGAATATTTTGACACCTCAAAATCATTTTAGATATTTTTATTTCTCTCTCTAAATACACAGACAGCATTTTTAAACTAGTGTGTTAAAATGTAAGCCTACACCAACACCGCCTGAAGAACTGCCTGTTTTATTATGTAGAACTGTCTCTTTTTTATGCTGCCTTTTTTAGGATTGGAAATCTGTTTAAGCAAGCAATCAACATTTTAGATGTTTCATATTATGTTATAATTATATGCATTGAATTAAGTTAGCATTGCAATTAAAATCACAAAATTTGACTAATTACTGTTAGTGAACTAAAATTTAAATAAATTAATGAATTAAAAGTATCTATCTATCTATCTATCTATCTATCTATCTATCTATCTATCTATCTATCTATCTGTCTATCTTCATTCTTGACTAAAGTCTATGTTGTTGAAAACTACAGACTGGCATGAAAACGTCTCTGCTTTAGACATCTCAGATTTGCATTCTGCATCACTAAAACATCAATGACTTATTATAAGCATGCATTGAAGTAATCAAAATCAAGTAGTAATCAAGTAAATACAGTCTTATAAAAATTAACTTGTAGGAAAAAAATGTACTTCCATGCTCTACCATATTTTGGAGTATAAAAACATTAATCTAAAAAAAATATTCGTTGTGTCTATTTTGCATTTTAGCTTTAGTGGTATGCAGTCACAAACCTGTAAGCTCTGTACATTTTCTTTGTTCTGTCACAAAATTAGTGAAAGCTCAGAGTCCTCTCTCATTTGCATACACTAATTGCTCATTCTCATCATGCAGTATGAAGTAACCTCATTTGATAATAAGACAAGACCAATAAATCATGGACTTCATCATTAAATGAATCCCTTCCTGGGGGAATATTGATTGTTTTATCTAATTGTTTAAGAAAAGAAGAAGACTAAAAACGAAAAATATTTCTACCCCTGTGCCATTTATAATTATTAATAAATGATTTACATAATTATAGTTTATAATAAAAGTCTTTGTAATTGTAATTACCGGTATATTTGTAGGTGTTTGCTCATAATTGCTCATTCTGAAAATGCACATTTCAGTGGTTTTTATTTGATATTTTGAACAAATTCATTGCAGAATATTTTGACACCTCAAAATCATTTTAGATATTTTTATTTCTCTCTCTAAATACACAGACAGCATTTTTAAACTAGTGTGTTAAAATGTAAGCCTACAGCAACACCGCCTGAAGAACTGCCTGTTTTATTATGTAGAACTGTCTCTTTTTTATGCTGCCTTTTTTAGGATTGGAAATCTGTTTAAGCAAGCAATCAACATTTTAGATGTTTCATATTATGTTATAATTATATGCATTGAATTAAGTTAGCATTGCAATTAAAATCACAAAATTTGACTAATTACTGTTAGTGAACTAAAATTTAAATAAATTAATGAATTTAAATGATCTATCTATCTATCTATCTATCTATCTATCTATCTATCTATCTATCTATCTGTCTATCTTCATTCTTGACTAAACTCTATGTTGTTGAAAACTACAGACTGGCATGAAAACGTCTCTGCTTTAGACATCTCAGATTTGCATTCTGCATCACTAAAACATCAATGACTTATTATAAGCATGCATTGAAGTAATCAAAATCAAGTAGTAATCAAGTAAATACAGTCTTATAAAAATTAATTTGTAGGAAAAAAATGTACTTCCATGTTCTACCATATTTTGGAGTATAAAAACATTAATCTAAAAAAAAATATTCATTGTGATTTCATTCTTGACACTGAATCATTAATCTTCAATTATTAGGAAGGTTCTTCTATTCAGAGATGAATTACTGAAAGAGCTCATCTAATATAGTGTTCTGTCGCCACCTAGTGTATAGATCAATACTTGACAGCCTTATGTTATTACATCTATTCATTTGACTAGTTAGGTCAGAATCATACATCTACTGTAGGTTGCATGCATTGGTGTTTCCTTAACTATGGACACTTTTCATATATATATATATATATATATAGTATTTATAGAGTTTTAGCTTTTAGTTTTAATTACTTTTTCTTATTTGTAAGTCGCTTTGGATAAAAGCGTCTGCTAAATTACAAAAAGTAAAAGTAAAATTAAAAATGTTGCCCCGTCAACTAGCTGAAATAAATATGTTGAAGTTATTATATTTTATTTTATTTCAGTTAACATTTATTTTATTTCAAGTAATGACAATTTATTTTTTTGTTTTTTTTGTTTAAGTTAACTAGAATAAATACGTTCTTGTTAATTTACTTTTACTATTAACCTGGCATTAAATCACAGATTAGGTACTCCTTTTACAGCCATTCGTGATTTTTAAGAAAGAAACCGGAAAACTTTTATTTTGAATTAGAGCAACATTGTGACAGGAAGTTGTGCGTGTTATTGAGTCAGACTTCAGCGGAGTTTACCCGAGAGTCGAGACTTCCGAAAGAAGAATGACGGCCGGTTAAAGCAACAGATGAGATGGGTTTGCGGAGTCTGTCAGCTGTTAAACCTGCCCTCTAGACCGCTATTTCCTCGCGCTTTGCTCTGATCGACACGCATGTCGCGTCGTTATACGCGTTAAGCTGACAGCAGTTGTGCTGTAGAGAGGAAGAGGGACTGACTGCGCACTGCTGGCCCACTAAACACACACTCAACGCCGAGTCTACTTAAAAGGGCAAGATTGTTTTGCAACATACTTGATAGACACATGAATGCTCGTAATTTAAACACAATCTGTTGTAAGTATTACTATTAATCACAGATATCAAAGACTATGTGAAGCCGTTACTGTTTGAATATTAAGGGTTGTTTTCCGTGCATAGGATTGTTGTTGCGCTTTTGCGGATCGGTTAAGCTATAATCATGGCCACAGATGTAACAGCGACTGAAGAAGTCTCAAACCAGAGAGACTCGGGTGATCTGAACGCCAGCAAAAGTAATCCCGAATCAGACACACCCAGCCGGACATCTGAGACGCAAGAAAACAGAAGTAGAATTAGCGCGTTGTCGTTATCATCAACGGTTCATTCTGGGGAAGAACCACCTCAGGACTCCATAGCAGGGAATTCGCCGGAGAATGGAGGCAGTCCGGTCCGAACAGGAGATCCTCCGCAGGCAGCAGCGACTCCAGACAATAGACAAAAACAAGACGCTAGGACTTCAACTCCTGCGCGAGCGCCGCAAACACTCTCTTCACCAGCCGAACACAACGGAAGGTAATGGGGACACTGTCTGTGTCTCAAAACAAATGCTGTCTATGTAGGCAGGACACTATGTTTTAGGTCTGTCACTGGCACAGTCCATGATATGCTACACTTGGGTTTCCCATGACTATTTTTGGCCATTAGTTGAGTTTTGTCTACTATACGTTTGATAAACTGTTATTTAGCATGAAATTAACAACAAGAAAAACTAAATGCATCAAATGTTTGTGTCTCTCCTTAAAGGAATATGTAACTGTATTTGCCCGCAGGCCGTCCAAGATGTAGATGAGTTTGTTTCTTCATGGGAACAGATTTGGAGAAATGTAGCATTACATCACTTGCTCACCAGTGGATCCTCTGCAGTGAATGGGTGCCGTCAGAATGAGAGTCCAAACAGCTGATAAAAAAACAAAAAAGTAATCCACACGACTCCAGTCCATCAGTTAACATCTTGTGAAGTGGAGAGCTGCGTGTTTGTAAGAAACAAAATTCATCATTAAGATGTTTTTAGCTTCATACCGTTAATTTTGGCCCATTCTTCCTCAGAGGTCGTCCACTTCTTTACTGTATTCAACAATTAAAATCACACAACAATGTAATTGCTTTGATCTAATCTGTTGAATTTATATTCTATTCATTCTATTAATTTTTTTATGACTGCCATACTTAGTTAGTGCCCCACAGTTTGTACTCCACCCTGTTACTGTGTCATTTTTCTCCTGTTAAAAAGTAACATTCCTTAATTTTGACACACCGGAAATGAAATCATTTGGACATTTTCTACAGGGTGACAAGTAAATAATAGCTTAAATAATATTTTCAAAATTTTTGTACGTTGTAGTTTTGATTTCATTCGTCAAATTGAACCATTCAACTCTGTTACTAAAGTTATTGTAAGAAAAATCATTTATTAGTAAAAGTTCTGCTAAGTTATTGTAACTAACACTAAAAAATGTTAGATGGGAAACTTGAACTAAAAAAACGTAAACGAAAATTAGAAATGTTTTCTTGACAACTAACCGAAAATAATGAGATGGAAAAAAAAAGACTAAAAATAAATTAAAGCTAAATAGAAATGTTTTTTTTTAAACTAATGAAAGTGAGAAAAGCACATAACACAACTTTAAAATTAAAATATAAAAATAAAAGCTAATTTAAAATGTTAATAAATGTTATAATATTATATAAATAATACAAAAATAAAACGTTTTTATCTGTATTATTTTTCTGTTTAATTGTACTATTTAATGATTATTGCTAGTAAATTATTATTATTATTATTATCATTAGACAAATACAAAAAGGTGCTAACCCCATATAAAATGAATAGAAAATAAATCCGACATTTCTGAAGGTTAGGAACATTTGTTTAAAAAGAAAACATTTTATTTTTGAGTTTCCGACTTTATTTGACACCCTATTCGTGAAGTGCCTTTTGTTTGTGTGCCGTTATTGTCGCTTACTGTAGAGTGTGGTGGCATGCAAAACATACACCTACAGGTGATACATTCATAACGGTCTCTAGGTGTGTACAGTCTATTCAATCATCTACTTAGTCTCAGGTGTGTACACATAGTTTCTATAAACAATTCTCTGTGTGCCACTTTTATTAAGTACATTAATCAGTCTATAAGTCTGTGATTCTGCTTTATAATGACAGGTTTGATTTGAGTGTTTGATCAATCCTCTATTTAAAATCTCTTTCAAAATCTTAGAAATAGTTCACCTAAGAATGAAAATTGTCATAATTTACCTACGCTCATGTCATGAATGCAAAAGACGATATTCAAAGTTGTTTTTGTTCATACAGTGAAAGTCAGTGGAGTGCAAAGTTGTTTTGGACCCCATTCACTTTCATTGTATGGACAAAAACATGTCTTCAAAGGATTCAAAAGATCTTCTTTTGTGTTCATTCATGTAATACTTTAATGTCAACAAAGTGACACGAGCAAGCATGCAGTGTCGCGTCCCATGACTCGACAGCATGAACTGTTGCAGATCTCTTGTAGGGAGGGTGGCATAAAGAGTGGCAGACTTTCCCCCTGGAGGAGTATGACGGATACCACATGGATGGCATGGCAATTAGCTCCCGTCCACAGTTAACCAGTGTCTCACATCTGAGCACCAGCCTCTCTTTAAAATGACTAAACAGCTGGTGGATGAATGACTCCTCATTCATGAAAATTTGAAGACATAACAGCTTGTACAAACACACAAATAACAGGTTGATGGGAATAAGAGATCTTTTTAGGCAATGAAATCCAGTTATACTTAGAAACTTGACTGAATGTGATGCAGGGTGTTTGACTGTGTTCATGATCATTTACATATATACTGTTTTGTTTTTTGTTTTTTTGCAGAATGATAAAATTTGTATTGTTATTCAGTAAGGTTCTGTAAGTTGTTACATAAGTTATACATTTAAGTTGTATGTTATTTCACGTTAGCTATTGCGTTAGCTAATGAACAATATTTATTGATGTAGGTTATTTTTTAACATTCCACATTAAAACATTAACATACATGAACATGATTTTTTTATTATCATTAACATAGATTAATAAATTGTATTGTTAGTTAAAATGCTACTATTTTTATAAATAAAAATAAACTCTAAATATTAGATGGAAAAACTTGAACTTTTTCAAAATTAGAAATGTTGTCTTGGCCGCTAACTGGAATATAGTTTAAGTATTAAAATGACTAAAACTGAAAAAAAAATGAATGAAAATAAATGTAATGTTTATTGCAAAATCACCCAAACAAAGCTTTTAAACTATTTAGAGACATGCCAAATTGTGGTGAAAGTTTTGAAAGCAGCATAGAAAATGAAAATGTTACTATTTTTTCTTTTGAGGAGATAACTGGACTACTACTGTATGAAATTGCGTGCTGCATTCTGTTTCACAATTTTTGCACACTAAGCAGTATGCTAGTATTCCAGTCTGAACACCGCTCATTAGGATGAATATTGTTTTTCTGAGCTTTGTGCTCTTTTGTTACAGTCTAAATGATAAATATATTCAAATGCTGAATCTAATGTTTAGTATTATTTTTTAAATTCAGTCTGTGGTCTTGAGGAGCGTCCCGCCCCAACCAATGATCTTGCTGTGAAATTACTTTAGTTCTATCAAAAAGGGCATCCTAATCTGCTTCCAAGAAATAAGAGCAGGCTTGTTCTTTATGGCGAAAACCTTGAACTTTGAACACACTCCAAGATTTTCAGGCCTTTCCAGAGTCACCACCCAGATCTTTCCCCAAAGAAGGTGAAACTCTTTCGCTGACTTCCATTTGTAAAAGAGCTTATCTCGTATGTATGTAACAGAAATCATTGTATATGAAGTCCTCAGGAGTTGACATGCCTTTGTTGGAGATTAACGCACCAAAGAGGCCCAAATTGATTTTTCTGTCGTAAGATGTGATGCACCGCGTCTTAATGTGCAGTGGTCTTATTAGGCAGTTCGAAGCTCTTTGCAGTAATTTCTCAGTAACTACAAAAGTTGTAGCTCTGTGATGAATGACTATCAGCCAGTATCGGATTTGGACCTCTGGACTCTTTTAACTCGGGACGTTTTTAGTGAGTGAATAACATGCTATGAACTAGATTTGTTTTAAAACCAAAACAGTTGGCTAATAGGTGAATTCATTTTTTAAATTGCTTTCAGTTTTGAGCACCAGGAGTCGGTTGCTACCACAGAGGCGCGGCTGAGATTGGAAGGGGTGGAGCTAAAGGAGGAGTGGCAAGATGAGGACTTCCCAAGGTAGGCTGTTGTATGTGTGTGTGGTAGTAGTGGGCGACATGACCATTATTTTTTTTTTATTCATACACTAGCATTCAAGTTTGGGGTCAGAAGGATTTTTTGGGGTCTGAAATAAATTAATAGTTTTATTTAGCAAGGACACATTACATTTATAAAAAGTGAAATTAGAGACTTTTACATTGTTGCAAATTTCTGTTTCAAATAAATGCTGTTCTATTCATCCAAAATTCCTGAAAAACACTGGAATTTTCATCACAACTGTTTTCAACAATGATATTATTAAGAAATCTCTTGAGCAGCAAATTAGCTTAATAGAATGATTTTAATATAATAAATTATATTAACATATTATAAATAAATGTATTAAAGTAAAAAGTGGATAATTATTGCAGATTATACAATTAACAAACGAAAGGTATGCCATCTTTTTTTCTTCTTTTTTAGTTTAGAAATTAAAGAGTGAAGCTAAAATAAATATTAGAAGTTAGAAACTAAATAAATATCCTTTTTAATGTTTATTTAATTCATAGCAGGGGAAAAATAATAGATTTTTTAAAATTCTTTTTTAGTTTAGAAATTAATGAGTGTCTACACTCTAAACAAATATGATTTTTAATGTTCATTTAAATAGTTGTAAAATAGCGAACTTGCATTTGTGGTGTTGTGACCACATTTTAATGGAGTAGGTTGATTGATGTTGGATTTTTTTTTTTTTTAAGATCTGGTTTAAATGATAGCAGATTTGTAAATTATATTACAGAAAGTTTGAATGTGTTTTATTTGGGTTGCCAGGCCACTGCCAGAAGAGGAAGATATTCAACTTGATGAGGGGCTTTTCACCGGCTCTTCTGGTGAAGGAGCACCTGGTAAGCAGTAATGATACTCAAATATGTGACCCTGGACCACAAAACCAGTCTCAAGTCTCTTGGGTATATTTGTAGCAATAGCCAAAAATACATTGTATGGGTCAAAATTATAGATTTTTCTTTTATGCCAAAAATCATTAGGATATTAAGTAAAGATCATGTTCTATGAAGATATTTTGTAAATGTCCTACTGTAAATATATTAAAACTAAATTTATGATTAGTAATATGCATTGCTAAGAACTTCATTTGGACAACTTTAAAGGCGATTTTCTCCATAATTAGATTTTATTGCACCCTCAGATTCCAGATTTTAGTTGTATCCTGGCCAAATATTGTCCTATCCTAACAAAACCATACATCAATGGAAAGCTTATTTATTCAGCTTTCAGATGATGTATAAACCTCAATTTCTAAAAATTGACCCATATGACTGGTTTTGTGGTCCATGGTCACATATATGAATATGTAGAGACAATTATACATTTGTTACTATGTTCAGAAAACACTGATCAATTATGTTTTAATTGCAGCTTCACAGTCTTACGGACTAAACAGTGCAAAGAAAACCAAAAAGAAGCTTTTGGCTCCAGACATCAGCCTAAACCTAGACCACAGTGAGGGTTCGGTCCTGTCAGATGAGCTGGATGAGAGTACAGAACTGGACCTGGATGATATAGACACCCCTTCAGACAACAGCAACGAGTTTGAGTGGGAAGGTATGACTGTGGTTTAGCCTTTAAATGTTAATGGTTTATTACATAATCCCAAACAGCAACTAATCTGATTAATTAGTCATTTTGCAGCCATTCAGACTCATGCTTTTCTGATCCTGTAGAAATGTTACTTACTCACTAACATTACAGAGATCTTGTCATGGACCGACTTTGTGTAATAACTCCTAGTTAAACAGTATTATGTGTTCTTGTTTTGTTTTTCTGTCCCACTGCTCTCTTCTCTCTTTCCTGGAAGGATTGTTTCTTCTCATTGGTTTGCGACAGGCCACTGGCCTGCGGTTTGTGGTAAGGTTACCTGACTGGATGTTTTACTCCCTGATCAAGTCCTACAGCATTGATTTCATTTTCTTTTCATCACCCTTTGGTATGGTATGAAATGGCACTATAAATCAAAGGCTATCCATTGTTTTTGTGTTGGAGAATGTTGATGGTTGGATTTTGATTTGTGCATGGTTTTTCCACCAATCTCATCAGATCTGATTCTGTTAATCAGCCTCATTTTGGTGTCCTGATCATTTTTGTTAAAGCTGGAAATGAATCACTTTTGAATTTAGAGGCAAAAACACTGCAGCCTTCCATTATGAAAAAGAATTGTAGCATATGTTTTTAAAGGCATACTTATTATAGAAATAATACTTAAGTGGGTAAAAAAAATTGACCCGCTTAAGTAGGACTTTAATACATCTTTATGTGTAATTGAATTAATACTTGGTTGCACTGCTAGAGTTCTAACAAACATTTATAGTAAACTAAAGTATACTTTAATGTCATTTCTTTTGAAATGTGTTTGTGTATTTAAGCGCATTTGTAAAATTAACATTTGTAATGATGTTATTGCAATCTAGTACATTTAAAATGTATTAACTTTAAATGTAATATTGAATAACACTATTTAAAATTATAATCAACTACTTTACATGTGCTCTAGTATGTTTGTCAACACATCAAAATAAGTTTACTTTTTTACGATAAAAGTTTATATAAACATAATTTAAATTGTACTTTGAAGTAAACCGTTTAATATGACATCCCAGATAGCGCAGGTACTTCCGCAAGATGTCTGTTAAAGATCGCTTCATCTGGAAAGCATCTGCTGTGTACAAGTTTCACATACATTCTAAATCATAAACATCTTAAATACATCTTCTAAACTTCTATTTGACATCTTGATAGGAATAGTCCTATAAACATATTGCAGATGAGCAAACACTTTAAAAAATGCGTCTTGCAAATAGACGTCTCTGTGATGTGTGTGTGCTATCAGGGATTATTACAAAGTGCACGTTTAAAAGTGTACTTAATTATGTTTAGAGTCATAGTGATGAAAGTGTACTCTTAAGTACACTCAGTCACTTAAGAAAATTAACTATGGTTTTATTGTAGTAGAAGTGTATTAGCCATGTTTTTTTTTTTTAGCGGATTGATTACCATTAGTATAACCACAGATACCATGGGTAAACTATGGTTAGTGTAGAAAAGTCATGGGTAATTCGGTTACCATGGTTCAACTATGTAAACCATGTTTATATAGTTTTATTTGTAGTAAAACCATGGTTCATTTCCTTAAGGGAGTTGGCTTTTTATTTTATTAATATTTTATTATTTGCAAGTACAGTGTGTGTGATTTAAAAAAAAATAAAAAATGTATCTACTTGTAAGATTTAAAGCTGCAGTCCGTAACTTTTTTTGGTTAAAAATGATCAGAAATCAATATTTGAGCAAGTACATTACCAGCCAGAGTTCAAAACTATCGCCTTCCTTTAGCCCGATTCACAACGGTTAGATTATAATAATGTTTTCTAATTTGAGTGGTACGGGTAGGTTTTCACGGGAAATTCGAGCATGCCGCTGCGTCATTACGTCTGTAAACAAAGAAGTTGTCCCGGCTTCTAGGCTATCGCATGTGAGGATCCTGCAGGTGGCCGATTGTGTATAGCCTTTTCTCACAGCAGCTAGAATAATTAAATGTATCATTTTGATGGCGGATTGCAATCCATAAAGGATTATGTGTTTATGACACACGTGAATGAAATTAAATTATATTCCAGTTATAAATGTGCTTCTGATTACAGATAGCCATGGATTACAAAAAAAAAACAGTTCGAAGGGAGCATAATTTGCTTTTTGGGTTAAAAGTATTTCTTAATATGAAATTCAAAGAGTATGACAATTAGATTAGACTGTGCAGAAATTGAAATCTACATGCTAATACACACTACTCATAGTCACCAATGCTGATGTTGTTAACATTAATCATTTGAGAATAAAGTATAACAATAATAATAATTTGAAAGGTTTGATGTGATATGAGCTAACCGATCTTTAGATTTAATCACCATTGGTAGCGAGATTTATGGTAATGCTTTTTTCCCTCAGTTGGTCAGAACAAACGTGGCAGACTTGTTACTTGTTCAGATGACAATATACGGTGAAAATGCTTATTTGGGTCATATTCCAAGACGTAGGCTAGAATCTGTGATTGCGAAATACAGTAAATATCCACACCGGTGCGGTGACTGACTGCCACATACTCTTCAGAACATTAGATCCACGCAAGCTAGATAATTCCGCACACAGCTGCAATTCCAGGTTTTCAAACAGAGATGGCGACAAAGAGGCAAAACTTACAGACTGCAGCTTTAAAGTACAATACAAATGCACATTCAGTACAATTAAGTGCACTCTTTCACAAAGATTCTTATGACAGATGTATCCATAATGAACTGGTAGAAACTAGCATGTATGTATGTAGGTATGTTGTATTTACATTATCTCTGTTCCAAAACCTAGTTAGCTGCCCTGATGTCTACTGTGTTACCTACTGTCTACATAGGCAGCTATCTTCTAAGACATCATTGCCGTTTCAGTCATACTTCAATAAAAACCTGTATATTCACTTGAATCTGCCATCTTGACTGGATATTTTCACAGAGCGTCCTATAATGGATTTTACTGAAGATGAGACATATGATGCTATCTGAGATTTTTAGCCAAAACTAAAACAGTTTTTTTCCCCGTTTATTCAATAGATTTTTTTGTTTGTTTAATACTCCTTCATTTGTCTGCTTGTTTTGGCACACAGAAGCTTTCTAGTTGGTAAAGAGTAAAGACCACAGGACGAGTGTAATGCATTTAGTTTTTTATTTTTGGCAGGTAGATTTTATTTTTTAGATTTTACTATCGGAACTTTTTTTTTTCTAAACTCTGAATCAGTAAAGCATCATTCCTGATCATATAAATGGACACTCAACTGAACGCTAAAAGAAAACAGCGCACATACACTCAAAAATAACAAATATTAAGTCAAATAAACCCTTTATTTCCCTTGTCAGATGACCTCCCAAAACCCCAAAATGCGGACCTCTTGTGCAAAGGAGTGGAGTCGGTGCAGGAGTTCACCAGTACGGAGGATCGCGAGGAGGGCCGTCGCTGGAGAGTCTTCCGCATCGGAGAGCAGGAGCACCGGGTGGACATGAAGGCCATTGAGCCCTACAAGCGGGTTATCAGCCATGGAGGTCAGTTACCGCACCTTTCCATACCAATGTGTCTGTTATCTATACAAGGATGCTTTCTGTTTGCACCATTCAGAAAGTGAAATTGTCCATGGTCGAAATTGTCAGTGGGTGAAAATGAAAACATTTAGAGGTGTTTTATGGTGTTTAGCAGCATTCTCACTCATAGAACAGCTCCTTTGGTGCTTTTAGAGCAGTACTGTGGCATTTACTGTCATTTATAACACCACAGACCTTTTCCAGATAATCTCTCAGTCAGAAGCGCCTGTTACCATCTGTCTTTCTTGCTTTTTGCACTTCCTCCCCCTCCCTTTTGCCATCTAACAGCTGTCGCATGCTGTTATATAATGAACAATTACACAGACTGAGCTGTTGATTCAGATGGATTAGATCAGTCAACTTGTGTAATTGCTGTAAAAGCGCAAACTGACGTTCAAACGTTTGCCAGTAGCCACTTTCAAACATGGTTCCCCTTTTCACAGGCTACTATGGCGATGGATTGAATGCCATCATCATCTTTGCTGTTTGCTTTATGCCTGAGAGCAATCAACCAAATTACAGATACATCATGGACAATCTTTTCAAGTAAGTTCTAGATGGCTGTTTTCAACCGGTTTGTTTCTAGTGATGCTCCGCATGGCTTATTCTGGTCAAGATCCCTTTAAAACAGGCATCTGAGACATCTGTAAAGAGACCACACTGGAAAAAAATTCATGAAGAAACAATTTTCTCTCAGAAATTGCTAAATCTCTCAACTAATTACAAAGAAACGGCAAATAACACATTTAATTAAATGTGAAATTTTGAAGTAAACAGACTAGTAGTAAAAAATAAACAGTAAAATGTACTCCAATAATCTTTTACAACTTTTACAAATCATTTTTTACATTGCAGTCCATTGCAGAATATTCTCTGCAAGGTATTGTACAGACAGCACTGATGAAATTAAGGCAAATATGTGTTGCTACTAATTGCTTCCAACACAATTTGTGAATATAATTAAAATATTGAGAAACTTGGGTGATTTTAGCTACTAATTTTTGCCCAGAAGTGCAGCCTGGTCAAAGTTTTATTTTCCGTTTGTACTGATGAAAACTTCCGTATAGTTTTAAACTAGTCAACAAGATTACTGAAGGAATTAATAATTTTGTACTTTCTCATCAACTAAAATAAGATGCCATTTTATTCGGAGTAAAATTGACTCAAAGTAATATTACATGATCTAACAGTCAATAACTCACAAAAAAACTAAAAATATATTAAAAAAAATCACAATTCTTGGGTAACGATCACAGCGTACATTATTTTTTCAATTAAATAATTATTTTCTTTTGCAGTAATTGTATATTTTCTTTTATTATATATTGTACTTTTCCCCAAAAAATACGCATTATCATTTTGACTCTATAGTCCATTATAGTCCCATTTTAGGGAGACCAGTGATTCAAGCTTTTCTGTTGATTTAAAGGGATAGTTCACTAAAAAATGTATATTACCCCATGACTTACTCACCCTCAAGCCATCCTAGGTGTATATAATTTTCTTCTTTCAGACGAATGCAATCTGAGTTATATTTAAAAATGTCTTGGCTCTTCTAGGCTTTATAATGGCAGTGAATGGGGGTCAAGATTTTGAAGTCCAAAAAAGTCCATCCATCCATCATAAAAAGTGCTCCACACGGCTCCGGGGGGTTAATAAAGGCCTTCTGAAGTGAAGCGATGCGTTTGTGTAAGAAAAATATCCATATTTAAAACTTTATAAACTGTAATCTCTAGCTTCCGCTAACTGTCGTACGTGCGTTCACGAGAGAGTGGCATTCCAGCAGATGACGTAAGCTCTGGACATTTTTCAATATAACTCTGATTGTATTCGTCTGAGAGAAGACAGTCATATACACCTAGGATGACTTGAGGTAAAATCATGGGGTAATTTTCATTTTTGGGTGAACTATCCTTTTAACTAGCATGTCTAGTGGTCACATTTACCATTGTTTCGTGATTTTGTTGAATTTTTTTTCATGGGTCAAATACAGTCATTTCAATAAGAATCTGGAATTTCGTGTGATGTGAAAGATTTCCTCCCGCAGATTTAGCAATGGGTTACGTAGATTCGGTGCCAACAGAAAGCTGCTTGCTTTGAAAGTGACTACTATTGACAATAGACAATGGACTTTTTTTGCCCCCAAATTCTGTCCACATTTCACTAATGTGACCCCACCTTAAAGGGTTAGTTCACCCAAAAATGAAAATTCTGTCATTAATTACTCACTCTCGTGTTGTTCCAAACCGTAAGACCTTCGTTCATCTTTGGAACACACTTTAAGATATTTTTGATTAAATCTGAGGGCTCTCTGACCTTCCCATAGACAGCAAGGTAACTACCACGTTCAAGGTCCAGAAAAGTACCAAGATGATCGACAAAGTAGTCCGTGTGACATCAGTGGTTCAACTGTAAAGTTACGAAGCTACGAGAATACTTTTTTGCGCAAAGAAAACAAAAATAACGACTTTATTCCACATTTTCCTAGATCCGGTCATTATTTTTGTTTTCTTTGCGCAAAAACGTATTCTCTTAGCTTCGTAACTTTACAGTTGAACCACTGATGTCACACGGACTACTTTGTCGATCATCTTGGTACTTTTCTGGACCTTGAACGTGGTAGTTACCTTGCTGTCTATGGGAGGGTCAGAGAGCCCTCAGATTTCATCAAAAATATCTTAAATTGAGTTCCGAAGATGAATGAAGGTCTTACAGGTTTCGAACAACACGAGGGTGAGTAATTAATGACAGAATTTTCATTTTTTGGTGAACTAACCCTTTAAGTTTGTTAGCAGCCCTGAAGGTGATGTAGAGAAGTCCTCACTTGATGCCTCAAACCTCAGGTAGTTTTGCAACTAACATTTTGTGTATCATTCAGGTATGTCATAGGAACTCTAGAGCTGCTTGTAGCTGAGAACTACATGATTGTATACCTGAATGGAGCCACTTCCCGCCGAAAGATGCCCAGTGTGGGCTGGCTCAGAAAATGCTATCAGCAAATAGATCGAAGGTGAGAATCTCATTGATAGCTTTTGCTAACAAACTTTTTCTTTTATTTTTGGGTGAACTATTAAATTAAATTACTCATTCTGTCTTCATTTTATTCTAACCCCAGAAAGCCAATTTCAAGTCAACATCTGTGTAAAAACATTTGAATAATAATAATGCTATATTTAAATAAATAAATAAATGCATAATATTAATTTATTTTTTGTATTATTTAAAAAAAATAATATAATAAAATATTTATTTTCAGTCATTTTTAATATATAGAAACTCTGAACCCTGAATTTTTATTTTTTTATTTTTATTCACACAATATTGTTCTGATACAGGTTAAGGAAGAATTTGAAATCATTAATAATTGTGCACCCGTCCTGGTTTATTCGCACCCTCCTGGCCCTCACAAAACCTTTTATAAGGTCAGTCCTTTTCTAGTTCCCTTCAGATATGTTTTAATATGAATTGATTTCCTGCAGTGATCGTATTAATGTGTTATTCAATGTAAATCTTTCTATTACAGCTCAAAATTTAGCCAGAAAATCAAGTATGTGTACAGCCTGACAGACCTGGCTGAGCTTGTCCCGATGGAGTATGTTTCCATACCAGACTGCATTAAACAGTAAGTACCCTTTAATATGCTGCTTCTGCCTCCTGCTTCCTTTTTTTTTTACTGGAAATGATCAGTTTCTAGTGTACGTTCATTACTCTGAAACTGTTTTGACAAGCTATGCTAAATGATTACCTTCCGTAATGAAGGTTCCATATTGCTCTCCTCTCTCATCAGTATTCCAGCTTTGTAATTACTTTACTGAAAGTCTGATCTGCTCCCAAGTACTAGCTGCTGTTGGCTGTGGTATCTTCAGACTCTCTATGCCCTAATCCTTCTCCCTGCCTTTCCTCTAAGGTTTGACGAAGAAAAAAATAGGAAAAAACATAAAAGGTATCTGTATTTCATTCCGGAGATCCCTGCCGGATCTCTGTTGACCTTGCCTGAATTGCACAAAACTAACAATTAATCGTTTGGCTTTATTAAGTGTACACCTTTACTTGGTCACTGAACCAAAAGTTGCTTTTTGAGCTTCTTCTTTGATTGTCATCAAGATGCTAAATTCCTTCTGTGCGCCATCTAACTATAATCATTTGTTGTGAATGCAGCTCTTTTGCACTTTTTAAATTGAGCACAATTTGTCTCACATTTCCAGAGCAAAAGTGTTGACTTGCTCTGAAATTCCAGCATTGACCTTTTTATTATAAAATATACTGAGGCAAGCAGTATTTCCTGTAGTTTTTGTCTTATCGCTATTGCAGTTTCAGTTTTCTTGCTGTGTTCACCATAAAAATTAAATAAATACATAAATATTCTTAATTTCTTCAATTAATTTTGGTAGACCTCATCATCGTTTTAGTTTATAAAATAACTAAAAACACTGAAATAATGTACAGTGGGGTTCAAAGGACTAGACAACATTTTATATAATTTGAGGAAAAAAGTGACTTGTCAAGGTATGATGTAAAACGAATGAGAACAAAAAATTTGGTTCTGCAGTATTTCTTTCTTTCCTGTGTACTAAACACTTGATTTAAATTTTGCAGATAATATAATTTGTAATTAGTTATCTGCTTTATTTATAAAAAATTATTAAATATAAAATTACATAATTTATACATTTGATATATATATATATATAAGGAGGCGTAATTCACACACTCCAGTTTGCTGGCCACAAACAACGTTGGTCAGGCAGGACACAATGGTTCTTACTGCTTGTTTAAAGATCTCAGGAGAACACAGTACACATTGTGAGGAGTGTAAATGGCTCTCAGGAGCCTTTCAAACATCTCAATTTTCTCATGGATCACCATGGAGTAAGCAATGGGGAAATCTTTGTCCGCTTTACTGAGAGAAACAGTCAGAAACCTACTATCTCTGATGTAGGATGGACAATCCTTGGTGGCATTGAGATAAAATGACTCTGATAGCAGGGATTTCCCCCCAGGAGCTTCCTGAAAATGTATTTGTCCACTCCATCCATGTCTTCTTGGATAATAGCAGAACAAGACTAGTTCTTTCCAACATCCTGCTTTAGTAAGTGATTCAATTCCAGTTTCCCCATGAAGGGCAGTTCTTCCTTGGATAGTTCAGCAGGAATATGGAATACTTCCACTGGACAGGTGACTTGAGCAGATCCTGCATGCAGTTGATATCTGCTTGAACTCGAGACCAGGAGGCGTAATTCACACACTCCAGTTTGCTGGCCACAAACAACGTTGGTCAGGCAGGACACAATGGTTCTTACTGCTTGTTTAAAGATCTCAGGAGAACACCGTACACATTGTGAGGAGTGTAAATGGCTCTCAGGAGCCTTTCAAACATCTCAATTTTCTCATGGATCACCATGGAGTAAGCAATGGGGAAATCTTTGTCCGCTTTACTGAGAGAAACAGTCAGAAACCCACTATCTCTGATGTAGGATGGACAATCCTTGGTGGCATTGAGATAAAATGACTCTGATAGCAGGGATTTCCCCCCAGGAGCTTCCTGAAAATGTATTTGTCCACTCCGTCCATGTCTTCTTGGATAATAGCAGAACAAGACTGTAGTTCTCCAACATCCTGCTTTAGTAAGTGATTCAATTCCAGTTTCCCCATGAAGGGCAGTTCTTCCTTGGATAGTTCAGCAGGAATATGGGCCGTGTTGTACCCAGTGAAAGAATAGCAGTTGTCTTAAGAATCCTAGGTTTGAAAAATCCAATTTTCAGTTATTTAAGGTTATTAAAACCTGACCTGCAAAAAAACTACTGCTACTGTGTCAGTAAGGTCATTTACCGTAGAGATGTAACTAAGGTAGGCGCATACAGTAGGCAAGGCAGGGACCATTCACCCATGGAGGGAACCCTAATTACCAAGGATTTCTGCGAAAGTTATTGAAGGTAACAACGGTAGACAGCACTACTTTCAGTGAATAACTGCTTTACTTTCAGGCTGTTCCTCTCACAAAGTTAGGTAACACTTTATAATAACGTTCAGTTGTAAGGCATTTATAAGTGATTAGTTAATGATGAACTAATCATTTACAAACCATAACTATGTGTTCATAAATGATTAATAAGTGATTTGTTAATATTTTTATCTCTGTTTTGTAGATTGAGTTATAAATCATTTACAAGTGATTAGATGATGATTAACTAATCATTTACAAAACATGACTATACCTTCACAAATGATTAAGTATGCTAACGATTTACAAATCTCATAAGTTATCTTAAAAAATAGCATATCATGAAATAATCAAACAGATCCTTAGTAAAAGTTTAATACACTGAAAAAAAATGATGCGCATTTTTTTAAGGTAAGTGGTTGCAAACTATATTTTAGCTACATTTAAATAAAAAAAATGTTGAAAGTCAACTCAATTTGTTTAAATGTAGCTAAAATAAATGGATTGCAACCATAAATTATTAGTTCATCATTAACTAATCAATTATAAATGACTTGCAACTGAACGTTATTATAAAGTGTTACTACCCAAAGGGATCGTGTGGCTTCAAAAGACTTGGAATATTGGACTTGGACTACTTTTATGACACACTTGTCGTTTTTCGAGCTTGGCGTTTCAAATTGGGATCCATTTGTATTGTTTGAAAAAGCCCCCTCGTTTGTGTTTCAAGAAAAAGTCTCACTGAAGAAAGAAAAGAAAGAAAGTGAGTAAAACAGGTGAGTAAAATGAACGTTCTGTTATTATTTTATTCCTGTTCTAGGACTCACCACTTAGGTTTGGCTACTGTCATTGCTGTTAAAAGAAGTTACAGACTATAGCTGCTTTGAGTCCACATCAGGTCAAAATTAGAATCAACATAAACTCATTCTGTAGTAGAGTGCAACACTAGAGTCAGAGTCTATTTAAATGAGTCTCCAGTAGAGGGCACCACACTATCAGCTTAACAAACAAGCTTTGTATTTAAGCACACTGAGGTTAACGTTTCCATTCATCTCAATTGTGTTTGCTCGGTTAGCACAGATCCCCACATAACTACTGTTTTAATACTTTAGTAGTTTAAATCACTTGGGCAGTATTAGCTGATCAATCACGTGATGACTGATTGGCTGATGGTGCCAAAAACGTGCACAGTACCTTATTTCGCGTCAAGCCGCAACAGACAGGTCCATTTCATGCTTTTAGGATATCTCACAACAAAAATTGCTCACTTGTAAAACGTGTACTCTTATATAATGAACATTTATAGATGCATATGCTGTTTGTAAAAGAAACCAGTCAGAATACACAGTTACTTTTGAATGGCTGTCAGTAGAAAACGTGAAAGAGTGTGTGGTTAAACTTCTAACAAGAAGGGGCTTTTTGGGTCACAGTAAGTTAATATTTTACTTCTTTATTTTATTATATATTTACCTAGACATTCTGTAAGCATGCTATAATAACAAGTGGAGTTGCAATGTCCTGTACACCGTTTTGGTTTGTTATTCATCAACTTTGTGCACAATGTTGCTGCTCTGTGGTTTGAACAGGGAGATATTTTATCAAATGGTTTTCCACAGAATATTTTTCAACGGTTTCTTGTTAACTTGTTTCAGAATTTGTTACTCTATAACCCACTGAATACATTCGCTTTCATGCTTATATTATCATTGCATATGAAACGAGAATTTTATATAATGTTTGGTTTGAATCTTTTCTTAAAAAATGGCAGCCCTTCATAACAGCTTGTTTGTTAATAGCTCATTAACAAACATTACAGATCAGTAGTGTACATTCGGATGCAAATATGGTGAGTGTAGAATATTAGTGTTATAAAATTGGTCTATGTAAAATACTAAGATTGTTAACAAAGGATATTTCCTTATGAGTGTATGAGAACCTTAGTTATATTTAAGTTTGTGTTTGTCTTATTGTTTCCTTTGTGATTATAGTATTTAGGTTAGTCACTAATGGTCCCTCAGAGATGACAATCTTTAAGTAAAGTCACTGAAGTTCACATGCCACACTGTATTTCCTACCACACAGTACACCAGTGGCTCTCAATCCCCCAATTAATGTTCATTTTCTTAAAAGTTATTCGTGAATCTGTTGGTTTATATGAAATATTATGCATAACAAAAAGAGAGCTTCTCTGAAGTGTACAAATAGTTCATTAATTTTATTTAACAATTTGCAACATCCTGATAAAAAATATGACCTGCATGGAAAGTTTATTATATAAACATTAAACATATGCATTTACACTTCAATATATTTCATATCAATCAAAAATATTGATGCATTGTTTACAAAAATATACAGAGAGCTTCTGAACCTGTTATTTAAAACATCATAAAATAATGTCAGATTTTTGAACTGTTAGTAATGATTGACCATAAACAGCTTTGTACCTTAAAAAAGCCTCCATACATTTGATTGCAATATCATCTACTTCTGGATCAAACTTGTTTGCCAAAAGATGGTGTTGCTGCACAATCCATGTCAAGTCCCCAGCTCCATAGACACACACTGCCCGTCTGTGCGTCCCAGTGCATGGTGGATAGGGAGCTCCACTCTTTAGATCTCCTTCATGGTAGCTCCACTTCACCAGACGAGCAATCGCGTTCATGTCCGATTGCTGGTACTTGATGTTTGAAGGATTAGATCCTGGTACTGAAGGCATCCGCTGTAACGTAGCCCACATGTGCTCATCTGGACTGTACGTATCTTTCTCCCATTCCATGAAGTTTTGAATCTCTTTGCTTTTGAAGATGTGCTCCACAAACTCTCTTGACACCACAAAGTAAGCATTTCCTGAGAACATAGGGCTCTGTATTGGTGGAGGCGACTTTTTGACATCTGTCCGAGTCACAACGTTCGTAACATTGTGATGATACTGCCAGCGCCAATTTTTGGCCTGTACGTCCTCGGACTCCAAACTGTTCTTTCCACCCAGGTATTTTAGAGACTGGACCATTTCTGCATTGGTTTTAATGGGGAAATCGGTGCCACAGGTGTTGAGCAGATACTTCCACTGGACAGGTGACTTGAGCAGATCCTGCATGCAGTTGATGTCCGCTTGAACTCGAGTCCAAGAGGCATAAATCCCACTCTCAAGTTTGCTGGCCACAAACCCGTTGCTCAGGCAGGACGCAATGGCTCTTACTGCTTGTTTAAAGATCTC